AGCATGGTCATTATTTTTGCTTTTACTGTCCATTGACAGATTGTATGCTGAAGCTATTTTAACTTGTTCAAGTTTAATCTACAGTGCTTTTTACAACTCCCTTGTAAGTTCATAATTGTCAAGAGGATGTGTGTTTTGGTTATGAAAATTTACCTTGCGGGTTTTTATAATATACCTCCACTGAACCAGTTGAATGAGGATCAGACAATATTATCTCAATTTTGATTGAAAAATGTACATCATGTTAGGTCCGATTTACTATTTTCGATGACTGTTTGCCCGTGGCTGAGGAGAAGTTCAAGATGGTAATCAAGGAGAACTATTTTACAAGAAATAAGTTTGATTGCCAATTGACATCGTCACAGGTACTTGACATTGCCTTTACTACTGATAATAGTTTTGGGGTTTGATAAATACTGTGCAAGTTTAAGGACGCTGTTGCCATCTGATCCCATTCTGCATCTTGGCCACACTGATGGTTTTCATCTGTAGGTCAAGAAGTTGTGCAAGCTTTTTGTGCCTGCCAGGAAAGTCAACCAGTCCAAAAGGGTGGGAAGGAGGGGGAAGGCAGAAAACCCTAAACCTGTGCGTGGAGAAAGAAAGAGAAGGAGAGGAGATGATGGGACACCTATGCGCCGAGAAAGAATTAGGAGGCGCAGAAGGGATGATGAGAGGCACACTTATTTGAGGGAGGAGCGTAGGCAGCATGAGCCCCCTCGTAAGCGTCAAAGAGATGTTACACCTCCTGTGGCACCACAGTGGCAGCGTCCACCGTTACCTGCACCAGCACCAGCACCTCAACCGCATACTGTTGCTTCATATGCATTTAGGAGAACACCGGAAGCGAATGCTTACAGGCTGGATCCGTACTTAAATGATCGTGATCCTTACAGAGGTGGGCGAGATCCACATGTCCACCGTGACCCTTATAGAGAAGGGCTAGATCCAAATATACAGCACCTTGATTCTTCCAGAGATGACCTACGTTTGGCACCTCGGGATACTTATAGGAGGGAACCAATATCGGTTCATCCTGATGTCTACAGGCAGGATCGAGTGGCTTACAGAGATTCTTATAGACGTGATGAGCTGTTAGAGTACCATGATCTTCGGTCTTCAAATTTGGAAACTACGAGGCGGGATGATATCGGCAGCCGTGATCTTTATGTTCCATATCGAGATCATCCATCAAATTTGGAAACTAGGCTAAGAGATGAGATTGTCAGCCGTGATCCCTATGTTTCATACCAAGATCGTCCATCATATGCTGATCCTTTGAATTCTACGGAGCGTCATTCTCAAACAGGCTTGTTACCTGAGTATCGTCTTGCTCGTCCCATAACCCATCATCATTCCACTAGGGATCCACTTCATGAATATCGCTCTCGGGGAACGTTATCTCGATATTGAAGTTATTGTAGTATGAGGACACCATTCCATTGCCTGCTCCTTTTATGGTTCGGTTGGCCATATTAGTTCCGACTTTTAGACTTTTGAAGCTGGTGTACTTTCGGACCGTAGATAAATTTGGCAAACGTACGTCATTTAAACTTTTCCTCGTGATCATTATTGATATGTAATTGGATCATTTCCTTTCTACTATAATGGACTAGGGGTAGGAGCTTTAAGTGGGATTTCACTTTGGTCCCTGAGAACTTCGGTTTGTGAAACACGCACGTATAACTGGAAATTAGAGATTAGTTAATATTAGTTGTCGTGGCAGAATTTTCATTTTTGTATCTGATAGAGTTAATTGGAGTGCCTAAATTGAAACAAATCGAAAGACTATGACTTAGACTAGCAATGTGTATTGTTTTTGGTTGAAGAAAGTGCGTAAATTACACTTCTTTTTTGTTTTTTCAAGTCGTCTCAACTCAAATTTGACACAGAAATTAGACTGAATCAATTTAAATTATTAGTAGATAGAAATTAGGGCTAAATGAGCGAGTAGCGAACCTCCAATTTACTTTTAGCTCTATCATCGACATTTTTTAGTTTATGAAAGCATTCTCAGGGGGCTTAGCCTTCTTTCTCGACTTGAATCCCGGACAACTTGGTAGAGAAGAAAACGGTGGGGGCGATTGGTGTCATTTAATGCGTAATATCTAATGTGTTTGATCTCGATCATATGAAACACCAATACACGGAAAAATGGCTGAAAATATTCATAATTTTTATAGTTATTTTTCTAATGTTACTAATTAGAGACAAAAATTTTCATAGGCCTTTGATGAATCGACAGCCTTAAAATATCATCTAAATCTCTAATGTTTGAGTCAACGTATTAAAATATTTAATATGACATTACATCACATCACATCTAAAGATAAATAAAATTTGTGTGATAACTCTATTGCTTGAGTCTACTTGGATATTAATTTAGTCATATATGATTATTGCTTGCCTGCATGATTTATAATTGCTTAATTCAGCTTGACTATGGATTTTTAATAAAAATAGACAAAAGAAGAAGACAATTTCCCCCCTTTTTCTCCTTATCAATTATTATTATTATTTTTAACTTACTTTCTTGGTTCTCATTTTTTCTTTCCGTCAAGATGCAGGGTATGGGTGGGTTTTATTTTAAGGTGTCAATATTAAATAAATAAATCCTGAAGTGTGAAATTTCAATATTGTATAAGAACAAGACTATTTCAAGTCTTACAAACAGATGTTTATAAGAGTTGAACACTTGTTAGTTTTTTTTATCAAAAATAAATTTATTCTAGACTTGAGAGGTGTCTACTTCGTTTTTATTTTTCCTAAATATCAAAGTCACGTAATTCAAAGCAGAATAGAGAAAAATAAAAAAGCTCTTTGTTCCTTTGAAACATGTTCTAATTTTCTCTCTTTCCCGAAAGGGAAATTCTTAATTGTTTTTATTCTTAGATATGATAATATCCTACCTATTCCAAAACTAATCTGGAAATAGGCCCACATTTTAGACTGTTTTGGTCAACATTTCATACTTGTGGTATCGTGTCTCTGTTTGACTCAAAAACCAATGTATTTTGTTTAAAGTGAAACCGTGTCTGTGTTTTAAAAATGGGGAAATTACACCACAACGGCTATTTAAAGATATAAAGTTTACTCGAACATAAATTAGGTCTCTCACTCTCACTCTCTCCCCCAATTTAATCAGACGACGTCTCTCTACCTTCATACTCTCCGGCACCATCTTTTGGACTTCCATTGGTTTTCCCAGCAAAATTGTTGTATTGAAGCACAGTGGTGTCATCAATTGGTTGAGAGAAAGTTTGAATGCTTGAACTAAAATTTTTAGAATGTGTCCCATAAATTGGATCAATTGGCTAGTTAATTGGTTCAATTGACGGATTACCCACTATATTATGGACTTCAATTGGATGTTGTTGGGTAGAATTCATAATTCGGAATGCATTTATTCCATCAATTGATTGATTGCCCGTTCTAGTGGAAATTGTTCACGACTAGGGAATTATTTGATTTTGGGCATCGACGTGTGGGATTGATTAATAAAGGCCATGAAATTTGTCGTCTTGTGAGGAGAATCAACTGTTGGTGGTCCACAAGATCGCAACCATGGGTGTTTGGATGGATGCTATGCATTGCTTGTGACTTTGAAGCCAATTTTTGGTCTGATTTGGTTGTTTTTTAGGCTGATGTTTGTAATAGATTTGTAAAGGTTGAAGACGGGGGTTTATTGGTTGTGGAATCTGATGACCATGGTGGCCTTGGTGATTATTTTGTTGTTGGATTGTTAGTGGTGATGGTGGTAGTGTGATAGTTGTGGTTGTTATTGAGTGTTAAAGTAGTAGAGTGTTAGTGGTGGATCAATTTCCACATGTGATGATAGTGGAAGTCACAGCCAATTGAGTTTTTGTGACAAAACAGGTCACATATTCAAGATATATGGTTAATGGCCATTGGCACGGGTCACAGATCTAAAAGATTTATTCACCTGTCATTGGTTCTGGTCACGATCAAGAGATTTGTTCACAAACCATTGAATTAGACCATAGGTCATATGTTAAGTGTATTGGTCACAAGTTACGGATACAAGAGATTTGGTCACAGACCATTGGCTCAAATCACAAGTCACAGATACCAAGAGATTTTATCACAGATTATTAGCTCAGGTCACATGTCACAGATCTAAGAGATTTGATCACAAACCAATAGATCACGTCATAGATTATATGTCAAAGTGCATAGATCACATGTTATAAATTCAAACGACTTGGTCACATGTCATTGATTTCTCTAACTTCAGTTATCCGAACTGGTCACAAATTTAATTAACCAGATTTGAACGATGAAAATTGAAGTTATTTGTTTTGGTAAGTAGTCTGTAAATTACATCAGTTGATGTTTTCCAAAGGCCACTATGTTTCTTCTTCTATCTCTACTATCTAAATCGACGATACTCATGTTTGTCACTGAAAGGTTTCCTCAGTGGGTGGATGCTGACGACTAGTGAGCGAGGGTGGGGATGGGTAGATTAATTTAATTTGACAACATTATTATTTAAAATTAAAACAAATTAATGATTGAATTTTACATTTTTAAATTTAATGTCTGGAAATTGATTTGGCGCAACTTATGATTTTTCCCCTTTAAAAATTTGATCCCAAATGTTTTTTCTTTTCCTTTTTCTTTTTTTTTTTTAACAAACTTATAAGGTTACATGCATATATTTGACCGACCCTCTTCTCTCCTTGATTTTGCATAAATAAAATGTAAGATTAATGCTAATGAATTAATCTATTTATTTGAGATTGAAAAAAGTGGAAAGCATGGTTAATACAATAAGAAAAATTCTTGGTGTATATAAAATACGTACATAAGGGTGTTCACACCTCTCACATCAGGATAGGGCCCATCTCGTGTGGATCCCACCCCATGTGAGGATGTGGACATCCTTATACACATATTTTATGTGCATTAAGCACAACTCATACGATAAATCCTTCTTCTTATCTTCAGAATATTAGGAAAAAAGAAATGTTTCAAGTTTGTGAAGTCAGTGTTGTGTGGGGGCAGTCTGTTGGCCAGAAAATCTGTTGATGAGTAGAGAAATCTAAGTTTGACGTAACAAGTTGGGGCGCAGCACATGGTGGGAACTCTCATTGAAACGGATGAAAGGCCATGTCGTAACACTTTATTTTTGTTTTTGCTTTTTAAAAGAGTTTTATTTGTTATAAGGGCACGTTTGACATGATTTTTGAGAAGTTAATATGAGTTTTTGAGATTCAAAAATTGTTTTTGGATCCATTAAACTAATTTTGAGAAAGTGTTCCCTCTAATTAGAAGAGCGTTTAGAAAAAAATGGCTAAATATGATTTCATCTAAAAATAATTCTATAATAGAAAGCTCTTTTAGAAATTAGTTTTTGAAAATAATTAAAATAGTTTTCTCAGACAGCTATTCTACATAAAGTAAAAACAAAAGTCATAACAAACGGAGCCTAAAACAGCTTTTTATAAAACCTATTCTAACAAGACAAAGTGCTTTCAATTTTTTTATTTTTTTAAAAATATGTTCAAAAGCACAATTTGTCTTTTCAAAAGTCTTGTCAAACGAGAGTTAAAATTATAAGCCGAATTGATTAGGGTAGAGCATGCATTTGTGGATCTTAAATTTTTCATTAGACCCTATTTGATTTTCATTTTTTGACCACGAAAATGAAAAATATGATCGTTATTCATCACATTAAACTACCATATTTAACTTTCTATCTCTTGTGTAAGTCCCGTAACGACTTTATATTTCAGTCTCATTATTACAAAAATAGAATCCAAATGGGACCTAAATTATATTATCTAAAAGTTTAACGACATTATTCTTAGTCAAATATTTTCCGATCTTCCTCACAACCCATTTAGATGAGTCGTAAGTTGTCCGTAACCCGTACATGTTAAAACGTGGGACGACTTCCTCCTTCCCGCAATTAAGCCGAGAATGGTGGCACCTAATTTATTACACCACTCACAAAATTCAACATTAATGCTTTTTTCAATGCATACAAAGTCGTGCATGAAATATATTTATTACTTGAACTAGTATGTTGGTTAGACTTCATTTTTCTAAATTAATATTCTACGAAATTGATTTCATTTGTTTATTTCAATAAAAGTAGGGTTAATTATTACAAATGTGGCTATGGCTCCATTCTTCAAGACTCGAATGGTATAATATACGAACTTCTTTTATTATATTTAATTCATATTGATCGTATCGATTCTTCTTCTAAGAATAATTCGTGTGCATGTTTAATGATCAAAATAATGGATAAATGCTTCTATATATATGTTATAATGTTCAATCAATCATACTACACACATCGAAGTTCAATGCAAGATAATTCAAAATATTGTCGATTATTTGTGCTCGGCTCTCATTTTTTCGAATTTATGTTTTTTCTTTTCTCTTTAAATAAGAAATAGATAGGACAATCTAGGCAAATCATAGGTTTAATATTTTATTTAATAAAGTAGTAGAAAATTAGATATGCTGAAGCACAAGATACCAAATTGTAAAAGTCAATAATAATAAAGGAATCCAAGAAATAAATAAAGTAAGAGAACAAATCCAAGAAGAAAATAACGTATTAGAGGTGGACTTAAAAATATAAAATCGAAATATACTTATCCCAGTAATCTTCCAAAAGATAAACTCCAAATATACAGTTATATGGCTACGTCAAAACCTTTATATTTCATGCAAAAAAAATTCAAAATTGTTGTCCTTTGTGTCGGTTAAGTACAAAAGACCGTATCGATTTTTGTTTATTTACACAAATTATCCTTTTATTTTTTCTTATTTGTTGAAGTTGAATTGGGAATTAAATATGAATGTCGTGTTGGATTTTGGAATTTGGTTCGTTGATTTGACTCGTGGTTGTTCAACTAATTTAGGGTTTGTCCAAATACATCATGGTTGACAGTTTTTTTAACATTAGGTGATGACTGATGTGTTACACAATTTTACCATTGATTTTAATAACACTTCAAACAATCAATGGCCTCAATTTTTATACCTCACACAATGTTAGTCATGTTGTATACGAAAAATGTACAAGGCGAATAATTCTTGCCCAATCCAACCCCCATTCACTTGATTATGTTGCAACCGCCCGTTGGTTAATTAATGAGTTGTCCATACTAATTATTTCTTTCTTACTTGATTGTTAACATTATTCAAGAGAAAAAAAAATATTTTGTACTTGTGATAGAGCTCTAATTATCGATATTTATGATGGTATTTAGATGTTGTTTGATTTTTGATATTTGTATTGTATGAGTTAGTATCAGAGCCAACGTCACTCTCTTGATGATGCTATCGAGATCAAGATCAGATGCTTTTGAATCTAGAGGCATATTGCCAAACAAGGCCGACGCAATCCAGCGGTAGAGGCTATTGTGTGCGATAGTTGTGGATCTAATATTGAGATAGATTATAATGCAGAAGTTTTTGGACCTTTCAATCCTACTTTGAGGGTTCATTCGGTGAAGGATTAGAGTGTCTACCCAATTTTTATGAGGAGCTGAATGCCGAGACTTGAAGGATTAGAGTGTCTACCAATTTTTATGGGCACTAATAGTTGTAGGGTTTTTCCTTACTTCGTTGGTTAAAAATCATTTTTCATTGAAATGTATAAAACTCTTAATTTGTATTATATTCGATCCTCTCTTGACGTTCTTCCAATTCAACAAATTTAGATTAAGGAATTATTAGTTCTTGATGCTTGCAAGAAATACTCTCCTTCCATATTCTATGAAAAGTATGGAATCAACAAACCATCAAAGCGCTCAACCCCTTACTCTTAGAATTCGAACGGGTTACACACGCTTCAAGCAGAGGGCGCAGAGGGCATTGCCTTTCTCGAGGGGATGTAGAGTCCCCGTGCTCCCCTTGCTTATATAACACTAGTACGTATATACATATCAGTTGTGGAATAAAATAGAAGAAAATTAGTAAAGATTCTATCAAGTTAAATTACAAAATTAAGTTTGGACCAATGTGCAATGAGTAAATGATTAGGTAGAAAAGCATGCCTAATGATTGTAAATGAAAAGCACGCTGTAATTATGAGGGTTTTGCTCCCCCTTGGTTGCATAATTTAAAATTCAAAATTCTTCGTTCTTCATTATTTGGAACAATATGATTGGATCTTTAATTTGACTTTAGAAAATAAGAAGAAACATAAATTGGACAAGTGGGAAGCACATGGAGGAGTTGATTCTTGAAATAAGATTCACTATTTTTAGCAATATACATTCTTTAGAACTTGTAACTTAAATCCACTTATTACTCAAAAATATTTTGTATGTAAGTTCTTATACATTTTGATTTGACAACTTTATTCTCGTGAGTGGCCATTTTTCATCATTATCAATATAATTGCGAGCTAGTTTTTCTATCAAATTATCAAATTTTGTCTCTTATAAACACTTTTTTTTCTGCGATATCTCCAGTATATTTTAAAATAATTATGGTATAAGCTTCAATTTATTTAAGCTTCAATTTAAATAACATAATTCAACCAATTCAAAAATATGCTTGGAAATTCAATCCTAATTAGATTTCGTTTCATCTTACAAAAGTAATTTTTTTTGCTAACAAAATTTGAGTTTGAGAAAGTTGTCCCATTTACCATTAGCATGATGGAAATTATGAATTGATAAGATGAAAGTCATGATTAACAGGCATTTAAATTTCATGGCATATCTCGCTCTGTTCAATGTTGTAATGAATTATTTTTTGACTATTTTTCTTATTGAAAAAGGTACCTTGGATGAGTTAAACAATAAAATCTTGAATAAAGCCACTTAATCAGGCTTAGAAACATGAATGAAGAGATGGACTGATGTATCAAAAAAATGATTGAGCATTTTTCTTTTAATTTTTCAAACAATCTAATCATGCGTCGATTTCCCATCTGGATTTGAGTCTGGATATACAACATGATTGTAAAATATTTACATGCACGATTTACTTAAAAATATATTTTACTAATATTAAGGAATCGCAAAAAGAAAAGATCACACATTCGATTTGTATTTGCTTTAATCATACTTCATATAGATTGTTTGGGACTGAGACTACAGACACAAACATGAGGACGTAAAGCTGCAATAATTTAGATAATTTGTAAAAGAGACAATAGAAAACCTAAAATTCATGTGTCGCGCGTGTGGCTCGAGAAATATGCGTGCAATTGTACGACCCACTACATTTGCAAAATTCGTTGCCCGTTAATTGCGGAATCCAAATGGGCCCCAGCGGAAAACCAAAATATTACACAATTTAGTATAATTAGGTAATCCAACTCCAAGGGAAGTTGCATCTAGGTCACTTATCTTCAATTTAGTATAATTAGGTACTCGATTTTCAATTAGCTTGAAAATATTTGTCCAGTGTCATTATTTTATTACATTCATTCATAACTATTAATGGATAGTCGATGTGTAAAAATGTTCTTTCAGTTTTTGCCTTTTTAAAAGTCTCTATAAATTGTATATATTGTTATATGACGTGGACACAAAATGCTAGTCATACGTTCATTTTGATATCAAGTCAACATATAAAGGTGGTTAAACTGACTTGGCAATTGATTGAAAACTAATTAAATTTGAATAATCTGATTGCACCAAATTAAAGATTACGTAGTAACTTTATACAGCTATGCTTAAATTTTAATAACCCACAATGCATTTAGCCCCTGTTTGATTTAGGTAAAAAAGTTGTTAAAAATTTAAATTAAAGTCAACAATTAATTTTAATCATATATTTTATGGGATCCATAATTTTTATCAATTTTTCAATAATAAATTGTCATCAATTTTTATCAAAATCGACCTAATTTCTTGTACGTGGTCTACGGCAATCTATATACGTTGGATAGCCAGTTTCCTTTTAGTGTCCTCTAGTTGGCTTCTCGTGGGGCTCAACTTCTCTTGCCCCCACACTAACCCACCATGTTTTAATTCCTAGAATCATAGCCGCTGATTACGCTTCAATTTTCTTACGTTTGACGCAAAGCTGTTGCATTATACCAACCAACCATACTTACTTTTCACATATATTTTTAGCATGTATTTGTCAACGAGCACTATTCGTACAGAAATTATTATACAGAACTTTTACAGAATACACATATGTAGGGTGGGTGGGTATTTTTTGCAATATTTTAATCCACCCCATCTCAGACACATCTGTAAGAATTCTGGAATTTTTTTCTGTACAATAAGCATTAACCTTTGTCAACAAATTTAGGGCATATTCGCTTTTTTCTTGTATGTAGTTGTGCGACTATCTAAACAGTAAACACGGTGTTTATGAAATGTGTGTTTTATTAAACAAGTTAATAATTTGTTTTATTGTCAAAATAAGTACTTTTTTTATTAATAAATGGAAAAAAGGGAAGAAAACAAAGTATAAGAAAAGTCTTGGCATTCTTTGGATACCTTGCGAGGATACTTTTCTCAAATGGGCAAAAAGTTGTCGAGTGAAAAAAAACAAAATTACCTATAAAATTGTCAATGCCACTTGTCATATATGGAAGAGGTATCATTTTTTTGTGATGAGGTTACTTTTTAGCCAAAAAAACATAGAAGGAATATTTTTTTATTGAAATGAAAATAACAAGAAATAGTCAATGAATTGTATTACCTTTATAAATATTTTTTATCATGTAATTCAGTTGTGAAGCAAAAGTTCGATTAGGCAAGACACGATTATATATTACCGGAGGTGATAATGGTACGATGATATGAGTTTTCTTTAAGTCATGGGTTCATGATGTATTGTTTTAACATTGTTTCCTTTAAAAAATTATACTAAACAAATTTAAATTTTAGTCGAGTTTGAGGTCTTTACTCTTTAATCGTTAAGCCATTAAAAAAGCATCTGGACCACTCTTTCTCGATTTGTCAAGTTGTCATGCTATCCAAACCAACATGCAAATAATGGTAGTTGGTTCACACATAAGCTCCACTACGAAATATCTTAATTTTTAATTTCATTACCGATTCAAATATTATAAATTATGACGTAATATTTTTAGATCCAGTTGGAACGTCAACTCTGTTGTGAACCCAACTGGACTATAGACCGCAAAACTTGACCCCACATTAAAGAGCTTCATATTTACAAAAAAGGACCTACAGTAGTCCTCAAATTACACAACTGCCACTGATTCACTGTCTGAGTTTCCTCCATAAGTAGTCCTCTTCCCTCCAGTCCTTCCTGCACATCTCCATCTCTCTCACTCGCTCATAGCCACATTCTTGTTTTTTCTAGTGAGAAAAGATGGGTTTAGTCGATCTAGTCTGCAACATTGTTTTTCTCGTCTTACTTCTTTCACTGGTAGTTCAAGCCAGAATCCCCGGAGTTTACAGAGGTGAATCATGGCAAGGTGCCCATGCCACCTTCTATGGAGGGAGTGATGCCTCTGGCACAATGGGTGTGTAAAAAATTCATAAACTATTTCTCATATTACGTTCTGTAGATTTTTCCCTTAGAGGTAACAAGTTTTATGTTCAGGTGGTGCTTGTGGATATGGAAACTTGTACAGCCAAGGTTACGGAGTTAACACCGCCGCCCTCAGCACGGCGTTGTTCAACAAAGGGTTCAGCTGCGGGGCGTGCTTCGAGATCAAGTGTTCTAACGAACGGCAGTGGTGCCACGCCGGCAGCCCCTCCATTTTCATCACTGCCACCAATTTCTGCCCGCCCAACTACGCTCTGCCAAATGACAATGGCGGTTGGTGCAACCCGCCAAGGTCGCACTTCGACCTAGCCATGCCCATGTTTCTTAAAATAGCCGAATATCGGGCTGGAATTGTTCCCGTAGTTTACCGGAGGTAATATTCTCGGCCCGTCCCTTTTACTCTTCTGTTTACTTGAGTATAAGTCGTGTTTGTTACATCGCAAGCATACCTTCCGAAGTCAAATCAAGTTGTTACGTAGAGAAGTCACGAATTTTGTTACCAAATACTTGGCTAAATAGCAAAAAAGTTGTGCCATTAACCTTTGTCCCTTGTTCACAATTGGACATGTGAGACCCTTTTTAGTCTCTTTCAGCTTCAAATATTTTTTGGAGTCTCCATCAAAATCAAATTATTGCAGACCCGGCTCGTTTTGGAGTATAGATTGCCATCCAAACGAGTAAGGGCATCAAAGGAAATTCAAACAAAATGCTCAAAATCGGGTGTGACCATTTCTATTCATCACTTGGAATTTGGTTGTCAAACTAGTAGAAATTAAAACCAAGGAAACATCATATCCTTATTTAACAAGAAAAACCCGAGCCAATCATATCGCTATCGGGACCCACTTTATCGTCATTACATCTTGTCTTTTCGATTTTTTTTTTCCATGTAAAATCAGCACCGTTATCCCAAGTGCACGTGAATCAACGTACTGTAAGTAACCTTTAAACACAATTAAACGTAAATTAACACCAAACATGTGGTTTTATTATGCAGAGTGCCATGCAGAAGGCAAGGAGGCGTAAGGTTCACGATCAATGGATTCCGTTACTTTAACCTGGTTTTGGTCACCAACGTCGCGGGTGCAGGAGATATTGTAAAAGTAAGCATTAAGGGGTCGAGAACCGGGTGGATGAGCATGAGTCGAAATTGGGGCCAAAACTGGCAATCAAACTCAGTTTTAGTTGGTCAATCGCTCTCATTTAGAGTGACCGGTAGTGATCGACGCACCTCCACTTCATGGAACATAGCCTCTGCACATTGGCAATTTGGTCAAACTTTTGTTGGAAAGAACTTCAGAGTCTGAAACAGATTCTTTTAAAGTCAAATTTCCATAATTTGAGCCCTTTTTGACTGTTGGGTTTAGAAATTTTCTTGAGAACTGTGAAAGTAGTGGAAAATTGTTGCGTGCGCTTGGGTAAAGTAGAAAAACAAGGAAATTTCTATATTTTGTAATGGGGAGAAAGCCGGAATAGCTGAAGCGGCTGCACCAAATAGTTGCCCGCAGCTACATTGTTTTTAAGTAAATTGTAGTATAATATTATTGTTATGCGATATTTAACTTGTGTGGAAATGAATCTTATTTTGATGGAATTGGTATTTTTTTAGGAAGGTCATTTTGTAGCAGTGTCGAAATGAATGGACAATTCAAGTTTAGAGCAATCTAGCTCATTAAAATCGAATCGATATCAGTCTAATTTACTTCGGGCTAATATTATGATATTTTCTGCTAATATGTCGATGAGAATCTTTCCTCCTCCTCATCCTTTTTTTTTTTTTTTAAATTATATATTAAAATTAAAATTTCAAGTTTCCACTTTTGGCGAGTTCAATCGTTCCAAAGCTTACAAGGCTTTGGGGTAGGAGAAAGGAAAAGTTCAATCAAGAGATGACCTAATATTATGAGTTTTAATATGGCATATCAATCTAGGTTAAGAGATGACCTAATTTTATAACATCATTTTATAAATTTCAGCCATCAAGAACTTTAACAGGCATATGCTAATTTATTATATTAATGCATGTTTGTCAAATTTTAATTTATAATTATTTTTGGTCAAGCATATACTTCTTTTATTCACACATTTCGTAAAAATCATAACTAATATTTACGTTTTATACACATATTTTGTGAATCCACAGTTTAAATTGTAATTTGAACTCTCTCAAACAGGCACCAAGAAAGTGAACGTAAACCTGAGGGGCACATAGCACAACATATAAAACTTCTATTACCTTTAATGAATTTATCTTTATTGTCAATTTATGACACCTGGCTCTTTGGATTCTTACTAGCTTGAAAAGGTACTACAAAAATAATGCTTAGGATACCTTTGGAACAAGAATGTTTGTTGCTTTAATTCCGGTTGAGAATCGTTTTATATATAGGGAGGCGTGGTATGGGTTTGGTTTGGCTGTACAATGTGGTCCATTTCCCAATTTAGTCCAAATTTTAATGGGAGATGCCATGGTGTATAGCAAGTCTTACAGTCCTCTCACAAGAGAGGGCCCCATTATTATGGTCCTGTACATTTATCATTTTCCAATTTTAATACACCATTTTGGGCAAACAACCTAGTTTTGAATACTATTTCACCCTATAGTTAATGACATTTATGCAAGGGTTTTTGCCATTTGTACAGAAAATGGCTTCACAGAAATCATACAGACACTCACATGGGGCGGGAATAAAATATTATCAAAAAAATACCCACTCCCAATTGTATCTATTTTGGAGGGATTTTGTCACCCATCCTGCTGTACGTATAGTCTTTCTCTTATGCAAGTCTATATAATTTCGTCTATGTTTTTTGGAACTCGAATCAATAAAAAGAATTAAAATAAATAATGATAAGCCTAATTCAAGTAACAAGATTGAAAGTTAATATGATATTGATTATACCATTAAAAGTAAAATTAAATTGCAAGAGTACATTTTCACCTGTATGTTTAAACAAAGGGTTAACCAAAAAGTCACAACCCACAAACCGAATAGAAACCTTGATTTTTGAACCTTGGTTTTAGTCTATGTGGACCTATCACTATTTTGATTTTAAACCCAACCAAAACCGTTAAAAAGTGATTCAATTTAGATTTCAAGAGTTTATAATAATTTGAAATCGAACTAAAAGAGTTTATAAAATATTAAAAAAATGCACAACACCCTAAAACAAAACACAATGTTCAATTGAACACTAGGAAAAAAGAACTCATAACGATTATTACTTGTACTTTGAATATTAATTTGGATATACATGAAAAACTCATGAACAATTAACAAATTCTCTCATAAATAAATTGGATTTAGGTCAAAAGTTATGGACTAAAATTGCCCTCATTGGACCCTTGATGGATCCGCCGCCATCTACAACAGCCACGTCTTTCTCAAAACCTCGAGCCATTCTCATTCATGTACTTTGTTCATTGTTGTCAAGAAACAATTGAGATTGTGATCATCAAGACTTGAGTACAGGTTCACATGAATTTGTCCAGCTTTCAACAAGTTTCAGGAGGGTAGAAAGTAATTAACATTCCGTGTGATCAAACACAGGCACTAGCGTTTGATTTTTTTGTCCTCGACACCATTCATTTCCTACTCCTCTGTTTTAAAATCTTCTACTGTTTAAGTATTTGATGAATCCCCAGTTAAAGAGATGCCTCCCTCTCTGAGTTGGAATTCCATAGTTTGGGCAATGGATATTTGCCACCTGGGTTGTACTCGTCGATCTCATTCAAGGCTGTGGTCACAGCCTTGTACACGTCATAACCCAACTCAAACTTCAGTTCCTTCAACCTTTCATCGTTCTCATCGAATATTTCCTAAACAATTGCACATGATAAGTCATAAAATGAAGTAAATATGGGAATATTTACAAACATGGAACTCTCCGAAACAGGCACTAAGAAAGTGAACGTAAACTTGAGAGGCACATAGCACAACATATAAAACTTCTATTACCTTTTAATGAATTTATCTTTATTGCCAATTTATGACACCTGGCTCTTTGGATTCCTACTAGCTTGAAAAGGTACTACAAAATAATGCTTAGGATACCTTTGGAACAAGAATGTTTCTTGCTTTAATTCTGGTTGAGAATTGTTTTATATATAGGGAGGCGTGGGATGAGTTTGGTTTGGCTGTACAATGTGGTCCATTTCCCAATTTAGTCCAAATTTCAATACAACGTTTTGGGCAAACAACCTAGTTTTGAATACTATTTCACCCTATAGTCAATGACATTTATGCAAGGGTTTTTGACATTTGTACAGAAAATGGCTTCACAGAAATCATACAGACACTCACATGGGGCGGGAATAAAATATTATCAAAAAAATACCCACAGAAATCATACAGACACTCACATGGGGCGGGAATAAAATATTATCAAAAAAATACCCACTCCCAATTGTATCTATTTTGGAGGGATTTTGTCACCCATCCTGCTGTACGTATAGTCTTTCTCTTATGCAAGTCTATATAATTTCGTCTATGTTTTTTGGAACTCGAATCAATAAAAAGAATTAAAATAAATAATGATAAGCCTAATTCAAGTAACAAGATTGAAAGTTAATATGATATTGATTATACCATTAAAAGTAAAATTAAATTGCAAGAGTACATTTTCACCTATATGTTTAAACATAGGGTTAACCAAAAAGTCGCAACCCACAAACCGAATAGAAACCTTGATTTTTGAACCTTGGTTTTAGTCTATGTGGACCTATCACTATTTTGATTTTAAACCCAACCAAAACCGTTAAAAAGTGATTCAATTTAGATTTCAAGAGTTTATAATAATTTGAAATCGAACTAAAAGAGTTTATAAAATATTAAAAAAATGCACAACACCCTAAAACAAAACACAATGTTCAATTGAACACTAGGAAAAAAGAACTCATAACGATTATTACTTGTACTTTGAATATTAATTTGGATATACATGAAAAACTCATGAACAATTAACAAATTCTCTCATACATCTACTATCATCAGTTTGTATAAGAATAAGGAATTCAACCACAAACTTCATAATAGTGTAATTATCTTCATTTCATTTTTAGTTGTTAATATCAAGTATTTTATTCATTTGGTTAGAGGAACTTATATGAAAGTGTTCTCAACTCAATCTATTCTACAACCAAGGACGGATCCAAAATTATAACTTAGCGAGAGCAAGACAAAACAATAATTGGATTTGGGTAAAAAATTATGGACTAAAATTGCCCTCATTGGACCCTTGAGGGATCGGCCCCCATCTACAACAGACCCGTCTTTCTCAAAACCTTGAGCCATTCTCATTCATGTACTTTGTCCATTGTCATCAATTATGATCATCAAGACTTGAGTGCAGGTTCACATGAATCGTCCAGCTCTCTACAAGGGTAGAAAGTAATTAACATTCCGTGTGATCAAACATAAGCACTAGCATTATGTACCAAAGGGACAAAAAATTTGAACTTTTTGTCCTCTATTCATTTCCTACTTCTTTTTCGTTTTAAAATCTTCTACTGTTCAAGCATTTGATGAATCCCCAGTTAAAGAGATGCCTTCTTCTCTGAGCTGGAATCCCATAGTTTGGGCAATGAATATTTGCCACTTGGGTTGTACAACCTTTCATCTTTCTCATCAAATACTTCCTAAACAATTGCACATGATAAGTCATAAAATGAAGTAAATACGGGAATATTTACAAGCATGGAAATAGAACCAAGTTAGGATCAACAATTTTTCATGATATCAGTACAATTAACAATGTGTTACTAATACTGGATATGTTTGTCTAACCTATCATGTCATTCAATGTGGAACTTGCACAACCTTAAGTTTAAAGTTTATTCTTCTTTGACCTTCTTAGGATATCAATGGTGTAGTCACTTGTGACATTATTCACATCTGAAGCATAGTGCATGGTGGCAACTGAAACAACGAAGGAACTATTGCGGTTGAGACTTTGTCAAGGAGTTTGGGATCAAGCAAGATAGAATGAAGCTGTATTCTTGTATGGGCTTAGATTGAGGTTAGTATAAATACCGCTTATGTAACTCTATTATTCATACTGAATAAAATCTTCGGTTCATTTCTTGTGGATGTAGACACATCATCGAACCAAATTAAATACTTGTGTTAATTACTCTCTGTCACTTCTTTATTATTGCGTATAAAATCCAACAAAAGTGCAACTTATACTTTCCGCAAACCATTTTGAACATTTTTTAAATTTCACCAAACAAAAAGAATTTCCATTGACTTTCTACATTATAAAATCTTGCGTACAGCGTACTGGAAATGAAATATTATATTTAATTTATGATGTAAAATTTTAATTGTCTTTTCGATCACTCAACTTAGTACTAGTTTGGTATGACTTTTGAAAAGTCAAAAGTTATTTTCGAGATAAAGAAATTGTTTTTGAATACATTTAAATAATTTTCTAAAAATGCTTTGTCCAGCTAAAAAAGTTTTTAGAGAAAGTTAATCTAAGTTAGCTTTTTCAAAAGCTATTCTAAATATTGCCAAATGATCCTTAGTTTCTCTAGAAAGGTATAACATAAAATAATTACTAAGTATGATTGATTTAAAACTTAATTTTAAG